AAGTGGAGGGGAAGGTGAGTCACGGAAGGAGGAGGGGGGGGCAGCCTGCGCCTGCGCAGTGGGGCTGGAGCGCGGGCCTGGCGCGAGATCGAGGCCGGGGGGGCGGGGCGTGCGCAGGCCCCGCCTCCCAGCGCGCGCTCCCGTTGCAACCCCCTCCACCCACGGGCCCTTTCAGATGGTGACACGGACAGAGGGGCAGATCGACGACGCGCTGATTGGCGGCAATGCCTCAGCTGAGGGCCCCGACGGGGAGGGCTCAGAAGCCACTGTGGTCACCGGCGTGGATATTGTCATGAACCACCACCTGCAGGAGACCAGCTTCACCAAGGAGTCCTACAAGAAGTACATCAAGGACTACATGAAGGCGTGAGTGCTGCAAGGCTGGGCCACAGCCTCACAGGGCTCCTGGTGCAGGCACCCGGGGGTTGTGGGCAGCGCCTTGTGCTGTGTGTGGTGGGGTCGGCCTGGGGGGGGGGCACCGTGGGGCCCTGTCTGGTGCCACTGTACTTGGGTGGGCCAAAGGGTCATGGCCATGAGGTTTTGTGGGGATGGCATCTCTTCCTGGGCCCACTGCACCCATCTAGGATTGGGCAAGAGCCCCGGGGCGATGTTGGCCTTCTCGAGCAAATGAACAAGAGTTGTAAGCTGAGACCAGAGATGGTATAGGAACCCATGGTGCTAAAACCTTTCATGGGCTTTGGAGCAGAAAGATTTGCTCTGCTGTTTTTCTGCTGTCAGAAAAATGAGAGCTGGCCCTTTTTCCAAAGGGAGCTTCTAGTGTGTGTCCAGGGGAACCTCAAGTCTAAGAGGTTGAAAAATGCTGCTGTTTTAAATGTAGGACAGCTTTTGGTTACCTCTGGCCCCTCTCTCTTAAAGGGGAGGAGTCTGTTCTTGGAGGGGATGTAGCTCCCTAGACTAGAGCATAGGCAGGGCCATCCCAGAGGATGATGCAGCTTCCTGGAGCAAAAGGAGTCTGGTACTCCTGGGAATTTGTCTAATCTGATATTCAGCCCAGGCTCAAAGCTGATGGCTGTAAGCAGAACTCTGAACTGGTCCTTTAAGGCAGGGGTGGCCTTGTGACAGGGGTGCCACAAGTGGCACAGGGGCTGTAGTATGAGGAGGGACTGCAAGCAAAAAGCAGAGTAGGAAATCTGGTAGAAAGGGATCAGAGTGGCACTCTGGGAGGGTGTAGGGCTGACTAGTGGCAGGCTTGCCCCCCATCACCTCTTCCCCAGCCTTCACTGCTTTACAGCATGATGTCAGCATCCAAAAGGTTGGGACATCTTGGATATGTGCTGACTTTGGAGCTTGGAATAAAATGCTTGTAGCTAGGGACTTGGTACAATGCTCCAATATACCAGTAAGCAAACTGGACTGAGTCTGAGTGTGTTCCCATTGTGTCAAGACCGTCGTGGAAGGCGGTATGCCAATAGCTTGCTAGCAGCCAGAATGTCCATCTTGCAGGTCTTGGCTGGAAGAAGAAATGTTATTAGCTAGATACCTATTGGTGGTAAGCATAGACTTCAGCTGGAGAATTTTAAGCACTTTGGGAAAAGTGTCCATTTTGGTTTAAAACCTTTTCCCCCTCCTTGCTTTAGAATCAAAGCCAGACTTGAGGAACACAAGCCAGAAAGAGTAAAGCCTTTTATGACTGGGGCTGCAGAACAAGTCAAACACATCCTCGCAAACTTCAAAAACTACCAGGTAAAGCTGGGATCTTTGACCCTTCCAAATAAGTGTACCACTGGTAATGAGGGCTGTTAACTAGAGTGTCTGCTACTGAACAGATGCCTTGCAGGGAAGATGGTTGAGGGCAGTCTTTTTAATTTGTCAGTGTCTTAACATTAAAGGTAACTGCTGTGACGATCAGTCATGAAAATGACCAAAGCTTAAACTTCAATTCTCTCGCCTGAAGAAAGTGCTGAGCAGCAGCAAAGGCATTGAAAACTAATTTAGGACAGCACTTTGTTTGATTTTGCTTGTGGCTGCAAAGAGACTTTTTCAGTGGTATTTGATCAGGACTGCTTTTTAACCTTTGTGTAAGAAGAAACCTGCAAGCATCAATGGTAGCTACTGGTGGAGTGCCTTTCACTTCACAGGTCCCTTGGTAACACCACTTTTTTTTTCCCTCCAAGTTTTTTGTAGGTGAAAACATGAATCCAGATGGCATGGTGGGTCTCCTGGACTTCCGTGAGGATGGCGTGACACCCTTTATGATTTTCTTTAAGGATGGTTTAGAAATAGAGAAATGTGTAAGTAATAGAATTGGACTTGTTAAGACTGTTAGCCATTCAAGCCTTCCCTTATCTGCTGAAATACATATCCACTTTCAGTTAGTTTGCAAGACTAAAATCATTCACTTGGAATTGCTATCCATGTCAGCACCATTAGCATATAGTGGTTAGAGGCTGAAGAGTTTGGCTTGCACTTCAGGAGACCTTACCAGAGTGGGGACCAGTGTGCATTCATGAGTGTTGGAGCATGGGTTAATGGGTTCTTGCCGTCCCTTCCAGCCCTGTGTGCGCGCCAGTAATGGTATGGGAAAGTGAGGTATTGCACTTAATTTAAGAAATGCATCTAGTTTGTGGTAACTGGAAGATGCCACCTTTTAAAGATGGTCCCACCCCTGAAAGGATTCTACCATGGGAATCCAGAGCAGTAGTTCTAAAAGATTGTATTGTGTAGATCAAATGTAGCAGAGTTCATCATATGGCTTGGATTCCTCTTCCTTTCCTTCCCTTCCCTTCCCTTCCCTTCCCTTCCCCTCCCCTCCCCTCCACTTAATTTTGTGGCACTTAAATAACAGAACCAAGACCTGAGTCTCTTAAATTGTCTTAAATGCTTAGTTTCTTGGCAACACCCTGGAATTGATTCAGGTTACAGCTAATTTGTAGATATCTATAGACTTGTTACACTTTTGATAGACATGAGACTTGAATTGCTCCTTTTTTTTTTTCCTGTTTCCCCTCAAATTCTAGTGGCATCAACTTGCACAAAGTGGTGTTTTAAAGCAAACATGCTCACTATCTGTGCAGGTAATAGTATTTGGATGCTCCTTAGTCAAAAAGCGTAAGTGGCATCACAGCCAGCAGTATGGACTATCATAATGGCAGGCCACAAATGGTGGTATTAATCTGCCATAACAATCCCACCCTTGTAGTTGCCTTTTATGGGCTGGTACTGCAAATTGCTTTAAGAGTTTAACCTCCTGTTAGGTGGGAGTCTATAAAGATTGACCTTCTTTTCTCCCCCCCCCGCGCCCTTTTCATAGGCTACCCAGAAACTTAGTGTTCTTGTTTTGTGTTGGGAATAAACGTTCCTCTTATTTTACAATATTGTGACCACCACCACTATAGACACCATGAAAGAGGTCAAGAGTTGTGGAATTAAAGTAGTACCCACACAAGAAGGCATGGGCAACTCTAGAATAAAACTTCTTGTGTAAACAGCTAGCTCCACAGTAAATGTCTCGGCATCTACATGTGCAGTGCTGTTAGGACTGAGTAAACTAACTTTTTTTTACAAATACTAACCTATGGCAGAGTTAACACAAGTACTATCCTACAATGGAGTCTTACATTTGCATTCATGCATGTGGTAGATGCTGACCCAGCTGTCTGGGGCACCAGAGTACTTCAATGAGGGGGCTACCTGCCAGTTAGCCTTGCACTGAAGCACCATTGAGTCTCAGCCAGCCCCTTTGTGTAGAACATACATTTTGAGCTGGGCTGGCAGGCAGTGCCTGACCCCCCCCCCTCACACTCGCACGCTGCCAGGGCTGCTCAAATCCAACTCAACATGCTACAGTCCTAGGCACACATTTGTTGCTCCCAGTGCCATGTTCAAACTCCAGTGTAATATGTGCCAGAGGCTTTTATTGCTGCACATAAAAACTTGTAAAAACACCTGGTAAGCATCTGTCCTTAATGACTGAGTAGAAACTGCTACACCACTTTCTCCTATCTTTAACTTAAACAGCAAAAGTTGTTGTTGGGGGGGGGGGGGGGGGGGG